GGAAATGTTTTGGCTGAACCCTGTTTTTTCCCCCTTGGGGAAGTTGAAGGTTGTGGGAATCCAACTCCCAAATTCCCCCAACCCACATTGGGGCGTGGGGAATTCTGGGAGTTGAAGTCCACACATCTTCAAGCTGCCAAGGTTGAGAAACACTGCTGTAGACAGACCAAAGTATCTGATGCCCTCGAGATATTTTGAATTTCAGTGCCTAACATCTCCAGCCGGTATGACCAGCACCAAGCGATTGGGACGGGGGTTGTAATTCAAAACCCTGAGAAAACACCAGATTGCTTCTCCCTGCGAAAGCTTTTGATAAATGATCGAAATCACTTCCTCCCTGGGTAAATCCATGGTGATATTTCAAATCTGGCAGTGATTGCCAGGCAACTGCATATATAGCGGAGAAATTGGGAAAGGGGACAAGTTTCTTTTTAGCTGCGTGGTTGCAATTTCTCATGCTGTGATTTCCTACTAAATAGGTACTCTACAAGAATATCAGAAACGGATGAAGAAGCTGGATCAGCAATACAAGGAGAGGATTCGCAATGCAGGTAACTGGGTTGGTTTGAGGTAGCAAATTCATCCTAACATGTAAGGTGATCTGCTCAGCATTCTTATCTTAGAAACCGAGATATGCAGAATGTTTTGAATTCAGACAAGCTTGGAAAAGAGTGGTGAGTTCAGAATATTTTCAGGGAACTCCAGATTCTTTTTGCGAGAGCAAAGCAGCCCTTTTCAGATTTGAAACTAGTTCGCTAGAATAGAAACCCAGCATTTTTAATTCAGAACATTTCAGCATAAACTTCATGTTCATAAACATATCCAAAAACATAAAAATATTTGGCACACCTCTGCTTGAAAGACAAATCCCTAGGGGTTGTTGTGCTATTCTTTTTGCAGCAAAACAAAATGTAAAATCCTTTACTTAGTTACTACAATATAGTGCTATTGTTGACTTGCGCGTACTTCTAGCTAGATCTAATGATATCAACTCCTTTCTATGAAAGGACACGGGACAGTGAAGTTGTTAGCCTATAAAGTTTTACCAATCTGTACGTTTTAATCCTTACCCCAAGCAAATGCCCTTGGAAAACATTGAACTTAGGTTACTGTTTTCTTGTTCTTCACCTGTACTCCTGTTTTGTGGTATTAGGGTGATCATAACAGGCTGGGGTTTTTTTTGATTTTATAAATGAATCAGATAATAAACGATAGCCTCAGCTAATTGCAAAAGGGAAGGCCTGATAACTAGTGTTGCTTTTCTGCAGATGTGTTAGCTCTCACGATCCAGTCCTATCTATCTACTCAAAAATAAATGCCAGAACTTCATGCAACTTTGTCATTGTTTCAACTGTGTTTTGCTAGGCAAAAGCTATAATGCTTGGACTATCTGTAATAACAGATTATGTACACACATCTCACTTGTGTACTTTTCAGGAATTAGTTCAGATAGAAGTATATTCAAATGCTTACTTTCCATATTAGCGTTAAAGATCTTACAGCTTACTTCATACTCTTTTGTCATCAAAGTTTTTCTCTCGGAACAATAAGTCCAATATTCTACTAAAATTAAATATTTTGGGGCGCAACATATTAGAGTCCTCCCACTAATAACTGTCATGTCTGTTTCCTTTCAGAGCTTTTTCTTCAGTTGGAAGTAAGTGTATCTTATAAAAATCATTTTATGTTAGGACTTTGGGATTATTTCTATTCACCAGACTGGGTTCCAACCTAGGCAGATTTGGGGTAGATTCACTGAAATTAAAACGAAGTTGATGTTGAATTGAATTAGTGAATCTCTTAAAAAATGATTTAATATGCACTCAACTATTTTTGGGTGAGGTGGGGTGGCTGGTGGTTTTGCCTCTCAGGTACTCATAAGCAGGAGATAGAGACATTCTCCTCCTCCCCCCCCCCCCACCCACAGCTTTTGCCATGGCTCTTCTGCAGTTGCTATTTGGGGATAGGTTTGCCCTCAACTCAGAGGTAGCATGGAATCTTCAAGACCAATAGCCTCTGAAGAACTTGTCAAACATGAATTTATTCAACCCTCTTTGAATTTATCTGGCCATTTAGCCAGATCTAACCATCTGGCCACCTAGCCGATCTTTGTTACCATGGGGATATTGGGCTAGATGGATCCTTGGACTATGAGAACAGATTAAAGAACAAGATTAGTCCTCTTGTCCCATGAAACACATCCAAAAGATTATTCATTTAGGCAAGTGGTAGGACCATGTTCATATTTTTCCATTTAGATTGGCCGTTCTCTTCTACCCATCAATCAATTCATCTTTGTTTTGCACCTAAGTGACCCAGTGAGCATCACTGTAGGCCCAACATATTACAGCCCCGTCCCATCCAGGATGGAGTTGAGCAGCCTATTAACTAACTAACTAACTAACTAACTAACTAACTGCAACTTAAGTTTTGCCTTCTTGAAAATTCTCTCATTTTCTTTTGGGTTTGGACTAGACAGAGCAGGTGGAGCGAAACTACATTAAAGAAAAAAAAGCAGCTGTGAAGGAGTTTGAGGATAAAAAAATTGAGCTGAAGGAAAACTTGATTGCTGAATTGGAAGAGAAGAAGAAGATGATTGAGAGTGAGAAACTAACCATGGAATTAACAGGAGGTAAAGCAAAAACAAAGTTTTCCAAATCATTGAGACAAATTGCTTTGGATGCGCCTGACTCAATACACTGATCCAATTCAATGTTTCAGAAAGTCAATTTGATTTGGAGATTCAGTTAAATTGCTGTTGAATCTCCAAAGCAAATACTGGAGTTAGACAGGTTTAGCCATACTCTCCAATAGAAGGTGACTTCTTGGGTTTCAAGTCACATTTATTCAGAGATGAAGGATAATTGATCAGTGGAACGTGTTTCTTGCACATCATAGCCAACAGGGTTGGGATATTTGAATAGTAATTGGTTTATTGTGCTTAAAACTGAAGAGATATTTAAGTCAAATGATGCGTATAGATGTGAAAAATATATTTGGGAGGAGGGGGAAGAAAAGAAAGAGTTTTTTTTATTATGCTGCAGGCGTTTGTGCCAATTTTAAAGAAATGTGTGGGCCTTACAATCTGACTGGTTTGTCATTCTTCAGATTCCATGGAAGTGAAGCCTATCATGACAAGGAAATTGCGGAGGAGGCCAAACGATCCTGTGCCCATTCCTGACAAAAGGAGAAAACCAGCTCCAGATATCCTTTGTGTTGCCCTGAAATCCAGGCTGGGCAGTATTTGTCAGCCTAGGAGTCACAGCTTCTCTCTACCCTGGATGGCAGACCCCAGGAAGCCTTCCAGAGAAGTGTTCAAACATTTGGGCCAGGGAGAGTAAAGGCGTGTTAGGAAGCGTTTCACCTGCCAGAGGACTTGGGATCCCATTTCCATTCTTATTTTTCTCTTCATGTTGTTTTGGCTGAAAAGCCACCCTTCTTAAAGTTGACCATTTTGCTTCCAAATTTCAGCAGTGCAGTCTTGCTTTGCAGGCCAGAAATAGGGTTCTGGAGGGCATCCATGGTGCCCCTGTGATCCAGTCTGGATGTCCAGAATCTTGTTGAGCCAATGTGGCATGGCCCAAATTTTGAGAGAGTGATCCTGACCCTCATACCATAGAAGAAAAGGGGAAGAGTAGCTCATTCGCCAAACCTGGGCCACAAAACACCCATTTCCCAGAGGTCATACTGTACAGTAGAGCAGTATTTCTCAACCCTGGCAACTTTCAGATGTGTGGACTTCAACTCCCAGAATTCCCCAGCCAGCATGCTGGCTGGGGAATTCTGGGAGTTGAAGTCCACACATCTTGAGATTGGGAAACACTGCTGTAGAGGTTAAGAGGAAAGGAACTTATCTCTGGACCAAAATATGAGAGAGAGATCCCAAATCGAAGCCACAGAGCTTCCTTTTTGAACTCTCAGTTTTGTTCCTTAACATTTATTTCATAACACTTCATCAGAGACAGACAACACTGCCAAAAAATAGTATGCAATGCAAAGGTTTTGATTTAAGAAATTGGGAATGACAGGAGACTTGGTGGTTTTTCTTGAAGGGGTATCCATAGGCACAGCAGTTCCGTTGGACATCAAGTTAGGAATTCCGGGTCTAGGCAGACAGTTCTCAATTCTTCCTGAAAACCCCAGGTTTCCTTGAAAGATCACTTGACTGCTAGTTGCAGATCCTTCCTTACAATGAGAAACTGCAGGGAAAGTTGACTGAAGTATTGTGTAGAATAGTAATAAGCCCCAATGCATGTAGCCAGTTCCTTGAGATCATAACCACAACCACAACAGATGCCTTTTTTGTGCAAAAAAGCAAAACAAAACCAACTCTGGTTCAATCTCTGGCATTTCCAACTGTCGGAGGATTGGCCAGACCTGTGGGTGCCTCAGAACATGCTTGCGGCTTATCTGCATACGTGAATTGTGGGGCAAGCTCGTCAGTGCTACCTGGGTGACTGGTTTTCAGGAATCTTCTTCAGGAAGAACCCCAGCAATGCAATTGAAAGATGGTGATCTCAAATCTGAAGATTGGGTTCTCATAGCATGGGAATGGAAATGCTTGGTTTTGATGACCATGTTGCATGAACCCAACTGTTGTGACTTGATAACCATGGTTTATACCTTTGCTGTTGCACACGTGTAGGCAGTTACGGTTTCTTTAATAACATCTCCGGCCAAGGCCTTGTCAGAAGTTGAGTTGCTGTCTTTATTCAGGACTGGAATTGTTCTATGTTTCAGAAGCAGGATTGTGCGAATGCCTTGGTACTTTCTTTTCTTCATTGTGAGACTTCATCCATTGCCAGCCTGGCCCATTTCAGTGCCAGAGACTTCTTCAGAATTCCAGGCTTGATAAACCTTGTTCATCGTACACACCTCCAGAGATCATGCTGTCTTCCCTGACAGGCTGTTCTATTAAGGAGTTTCTAAGCTATTTTTCAGAGTCAACTGATCTTTTTTAGATGGCTTCAAATCAGTGGCTTCCAGCATTAAAGCACAATAAGATCATGTTCTCCCCTCCCCCCCAAAAAATCAGGATGTACATTCAGTAAACAACAGCTTCAAAAAAACCCATAATACACTTCTCAGTATGACATGGGAAGAAGAGACTCAGAATGAGATGCCACTGTTGGGCCATTTTGGCAAGACGAACGCCGTTACATTAGTGTTTTGAATTACCCTTAATGTGCATTACCTCAGCTCAATTATCTCCTAACGGATGAACAGATAATGGAAGATTTGAGGACCCTCAATAAGGTAAGTGCTTCTTTATGCAGGCAGGAAAAAAACTACTTTCTGTCTAATCAACCCAACTTTGTCTTCTCTGGGTTGGGGTGAGTATCCTGATTCTCCTAGGAAGAATCTGGTTTTATGTGTGTATTCCGAATGCAGTTGTTGATGTGAGAGAAAGATGCTTCCTCCTTATTTTCCATATTGCTCAGTGCTGTAGCTATCACATCCAAAGGTTGGTAAAAAGCGTAAGGAAAAAGAGGGTTGATTCATATCCAGCACAAGTTCTTTATCCTGTAGACATGGAGGCATGAAGTAGATACTGTTGGAAACCTCACAAGCACCAGATTTGAATTCCTACCATAGCTCATATTCTTCTTAGCTCCTCCAAATAAGGTGGAGTGGAGCCCATCTTCCTTCATCACCCAAGCTCTAAAGAGCCAGAGAAGATGACATAGGAAATTGAAGCGTGCAGAAGGGTGTCTCTGTAGAGTAAGGATCATCGAGGACAATAAGCACATGACGAATTTTGAAAACCTGCTAATAGCTACTCATTTTCAGGTAATCATAGGGTGCTCCAGATGGTGTAAAATGAGACACATGGAGTTTGGCACTGTTATTTGATTTATATCAGCATTTCTCAACCTTGACAACTTTCAGATGTGTGGACTTCAACTCCCAGAATTCCCCAGCCAGCATGCTGGCTGG